CAGTGTTTGTGGGATACCTGTCACAGAGATTCTAAACAGTCCTACAACAGTTTTACAAGTGTATCGCGTCCTTGTAATTTGAATAAGGGACATGGAGAAAATTTATACAGCACCACAAACCACAACGTCTGGGTCAGGCGTGTTAGTTGCCCGTGTCAGTCCACCGACGTTACAGCATGAGCATCAGTCCATCAAGACTATAACATGCACGAGTATCAAAGCACCGGTGCTACAGCAGTTGTAACAAACCGCCGATGTCATCAGTACACCGATGCTGTTTGTTAGATTATCATTCCCCGGTGCTATAATTTGAATATCAGACTACCAATGGTATAACATGAGTATCAGTCAACCGATATCAGTCCACCGATGCGATAACATGAGTATCAATCAACCGATATCAGTTCACCGAAGCTATTGTATGGTTATCAGTCCACCGTTGCTGTAACTTGAATACCAGACCACCGATGCTATAACTTGAATATCAGTCCATCGGTGCTATAACATGAGTATCAATCAACCGATATCAGTTCACCGAAGCTAGTGTATGGTTATCAGTCCACCGGTGCTGTAACTTGAATACCAGACCACCGATGCTATAACTTGGATATCAGTCCACCGGTGGGATAACATGAGTATCATTCAACCGATATCAGTTCACCGAAGATATTGTATGGTTATCAGTCCACCGGTGCTGTAACTTGAATACCAGACCACCGATGCTATAACTTGAATATCTTACCCATCTCAAAATCAGAAATTAAAAGTGTAAACAAGCAAAAAATCACCAAAAAATGGCATAACCTATATCTAAACTCAAATAGCCAAATCAAAAAAGTGCTCAGCAAACCACTAACCAAACCAAAAATTCTCCATCCATCCAAAAAAATCGATAGAGTAATCACTAAACTCCAAACAGGACACACCAACCTAAATAACCACCTAAAAAATTTTAAAAAACACACTACAGGTAACTGCCCACACTGCAAACAACCAGAAACCCCAGAACACGCACTCATCCACTGCACACACTACCTAACACATCGAACCGCATTACAAACCACCCTCAATCTAAACAAGGCTCTAACTCTAGAAGCAATACTAAACCCACAAAATAAACTAGAAAACTTCAAGGCCTTAGGCGTATTCTTAATCAAAACGGAACTAATAAAACGCATCTAAAAACACAATAACTCACCAAATCAAAATCACATAAACAAACAAACATCCACCATACCCAGCTCCCTTAGTTCTCCTCCCCAATCCCATCGGCATCTATTCCAAATCTCAAAATTCCCAAATTCTATATAAGCAACCCCTAAAACCCCCCTCTTGGGTTGCACAGACCACCTTCGCCCCTTTCGGAAACACATTAAATGGCCTGGCCGGGCCCGTGTGCGAAATACGCATCAGTCGGAAAGCGCACGTTAAATCTCCAAAGTAAGTAAGTAAGTAAGTACCGGTGCTAAACTTGAATATCAGTCCACCGGTGCTATAACTTGAATATCAGTCCACCGGTGCTAAACTTGAATACCAGACCACCGATGCTATAACTTGAATATCAGTCCACCGGTGCTATAACATGAGTATCATTCAACCGATATCAGTTCACCAAAGCTATTGTATGGTTAACAGTCCACCGGTGCTATAACTTGAATACTAGACCACCGGTGCTATAACTTGAATATCAGTCCACCGGTGCTAAACTTGAATTTCAGTCCACCGGTGCTATAACTTGAATTACAGTCCACCGGTGCTATAACTTGAATATAAGTCAGCGATGCTATAACTTGAATATCAGTCCACCGGTGCTATAACTTGAATACCAGACCACCGATGCTGTAACTTGAATATCAGTCCACCGGTGCTATACCTTGAATATCCGTCCACCGATGCTATAACTTGAATACCAGACCACTGATGCTATAACTTGAATATCAGTCCACCGGTGCTATAACTTGAATACCAGACCACCGATGCTATAACTTGAATATCAGTCCACCGGTGCTATAACATGAGTATCATTCAACCGATATCAGTTCACCAAAGCTATTGTATAGTTATCAGTCCACCGGTGCTATAACTTGAATACCAGACCACCGATGCTATAACTTGAATTACAGTCCACCGGTGCTATAACTTGAATATCAGTCCACCGGTGCTATAACTTGAATATCAGACCACCGATGCTTTAACTTGAATATAAGTCAACCGATGCTATAACTTGAATATCAGTCCACCGGTGCTATAACTTGAATACCAGACCACCGATGCTGTAACTTGAATATCAGTCCACCGGTGCTATACCTTGAATATCCGTCCACCGATGCTATAACTTGAATACCAGACCACCGATGCTATAACTTGAATACCAGACCACCGGTGCTATAACTTGAATATCAGTCCACCGGTGCTATAACTTGAATACCAGACCACCGATGCTGTAACTTGAATATCAGTCCACCGATGCTATAACTTGAATACCAGACCACCGATGCTATAACTTGAATACCAGACCACCGATGCTATAACTTGAATACCAGACCACCGATGCTGTAACTTGAATATCAGTCCACCGGTGCTATACCTTGAATATCAGTCCACCGATGCTATAACTTGAATACCAGACCACCGATGCTATAACTTGAATATCAGTCCACCGGTGCTAAACTTGAATATCAGTCCACCGATGCTATAACTTGAATACCAGACCACCGATGCTATAACTTGAATACCAGTCCACCGGTGCTAAACTTGAATATCAGTCCATGAGCATGTACCGGTTCACCGAGCTGAAGTATGTTTGTTTGTTTGTTGTTTAACGCCCCACTCAGCAATATTTCAGCTATATGTCTGTAAAAAATCGAGTCTGGACAAGACAATCCAGTGATTGACATCATAAGCATCGATCCATGCAATTGGGATCGATGACATGCATCGACCAAGTCAGCGAGTCTGACCACCCGATCCCGTTAGTCGCCTCTTACGACAAGGATAGTCGCCTTTTACAGCAAGCATGGGTTGCTGAAGACCTATTCCACCCCGGATCTTCACGGGTCGTATGTATAATGAAGTGATTGTTGCCCTTGATATTACTCCATGTCCTGTTCACCGTTCGGAATAAAGATTCGAAGAACACGTTACTAGCTGGGTTTAACAGTATTCTATTCTACCCCGGATCTTCACGGGTCGGTCTGTAGTATGAGTAAAGGGAATGTGTCCAAAGAACAAACCAGTTCAAACTGGACCACTGAATCTTACTGTCGACATCGGCCCTAGGAGCCTGTGTCTGGACCAAGTTTGGTGTAAGCCACATCTGCTAAATCAAATTGCATGGTAAAATACGGTTAGAGCGGCGTTAAACACTACTCACTCGCTATCTCTTAAGTCTATAATGATTCCTGGCCAGATGACCAGCCCTCCATCCAGGGCGTATGCAGTAATTGGATGAATGGTAATGGCAGCTTGTCATTTGAGCGCTGATTAACACTGTTTAGTGGAATCGAAGCTGGCCCGACAGCTGTTGGTATTACCACGGCCACTGTCAGACCCTGGCCCTCCGTACACTTTATTGAGTGTAGGCCGACAGTGTGTTGCTTAAGGAAGAGAATATATGGATGTCAACTTCTTTATTATGAGGAACACAACGTTTCGGAGTATGTTCTAACTCCTTCATCAGGTGAATGAATGCTATGAGGCATTACTTAGGACTGATTACTTAAGTGTTGGCTTCCATTGTCTATTGCTAATCACCTATCAGCGCCAATCATCTGTTGGCTTCCCTTTTTAGCTTGTACCCTTTGTTAGTTTCCACCTTTTGTTATCTTATTAATTTTGTTGTCCTTACATGTACATATATATGCTCTCTGCCTCATGGCATTCATTCACCTGATGAAGGAGTAGGCATATTTTCCGAAACGTTGTGTTCCTCATAATAAAGAAGTTGACATCCATATATTCTCTTCTTTATGTGAATCACTTCTAAATGCCTTTCAAAGAAGTGTGTTGCTTGCTATTTAAATGCTCTAGCTACTTGAATTTTGAAAGAAAACAGTGCACATGGACCAATGACGTAGTTAACATGTAAGGTGTCTGAAAAAAGACACACACATCACATTCCATCACCCCCAGCCCCAGCCCCAGCCCCAGCCCCAGCCCCACCCCTCACACTAATGACGAACCCCAGCCCTCTCTTGATCCTCACGTGACGAACATAAAGAAACACCCCTGTCTTTTATATTATTTAGTCCTCGTTAGCTACAGTGAACAGTTGATTGGTTACGAGGATATAGTCACCAAGCTTAACGTTTTCAATATTGTGTTGACCCGTGAAGATCCAGGGTCTTCAGCAACCCATGCTTGTCGTAAGAGGCGACTAACGGGATCGGGTGGTCATTCTCGCTAACTTGGTTGAAGCATACCATCGATCCCAATTGCGTGGACCGATGCTCATGATGTCAATCACTGGATTGTCTGGTCCAGACTCGATTATTTACAGACCGCTGCCATGTAGCTGGAATGTTGCTGAGTGCGGCGTAAAACAACAAACCAACAAACCAATATTGTGTTTTCCATTGTGAAGCTTTGTGCAAATATATCTGTGTTACTGTTTAGAGAGATAATGTATTCATCAATACATCTGTTGCCTGTTGTACAACACACTATGTATTGTAACATTGAATTATATTATTGAATCCTATGCAGTATATTTTTGTGTGTGCGTGCGTGCGTGTGTGTGTGTGTGTGTGTCTGTCTGTCTGTCTCTGTGCGTCTGTCTGTCTGTGTCCTGTCTGATATTGTAACATATTATACACAATGAACACAGTTATACACATCTAGATACATTGATTATATAGATATATTTAAGGAAAATCAAATTCTGAGGACGCCTCAAGTCGATATCTACTGTCAGTGCTTCATAATAGCCCAACATCGTTATAGTCTGTGGATTAAGCCGACAAACACACTGCAATGATTTCTCCCTTTCTATTTTGTTCAAGGATCGATCCCTCGCTTCAGCAGGTGCTCGCCGACAGAGGTCGCTACAACCCTGATGTTGATGTCCGAGCTTGACGAAAAAGATGCGATTAGACTCCTAAAATCGTCTGCTGGGATCTACTCTGATCACTTTTTCTCAATGGAGGTACAAAAATGTCGTTTGGAATCTATATATTTGTCAGATTTGTGAGAAATGGGTCAGTTTGTAACGTTTCAAGATACGAGTTTAACCACAGACTGACTCGATTCCGTCATTTTGGATGATTCCTGGTTATCTTAGAATGCAGGAATTTGGATATTTTTTTCTGTTTCTTTCGTACGTCGATTACTCTCTTAAGAAAAACACATGTGAGCCAAAGGATATTGACTAAAATCAATTATTGATCAATAAAACGTGTCCTTCCGATCTAATAAAGAACGTATTCGTATTATTATCAGTTGACTATAGAGCTATTCATAAAGCCTGCTTTGTAATGTAGTTCAAGTTTAATGTATTATTTTTACATCATTACTGAATGGTTTGTTTGAGAAAATACTGTAACATAATATATCAAAGCTCTTATGCCAAGATTTAATAGAACTTATCAGTGATTTGTCTAATTCATGTAGGTATATATATGTTTGTGATCATATGTGTTAGGAATAACATAAGAACTTTAAATCAACAAATCACCTTCAATATAGACCAAATTCTGGAGCTTTAATACCAAATTCTTTATTTCTGAAGACAGATTAATAAATGAAAATATAAATCACAATATAGCAGAAAGTAACCAGCTGTACACATGGTACAGGTACATACAGCCAGCCAACCCCTATTTGGTTCACTGTATGCAGAGCCCTGTTAAATGGCATACTAGATGCCTATATTTTTTTTTTTTTTTTTTATTTCAAAGAGTGACAAATCACTAAAATATAATTAGTCCAAGCATGCATGGTCATGCATTCTATGGGAAAATCGCAGTCTAATCATGATAATTTACTGTGTTCCCTCATATGATTCGAGAGTGCTTAAATTGGCAGCCTCTTGGTTGGGGTATCTAGGGCCTATGGCATGGCCCATCTATGGCCAATAGTGAGTGTGTAGCATTGTAGAAGACTCTTCCCCCTATCGATGAATGTTATGTGTGAAAATACAACAAAACAATCAGAATGCACGTATGACTTCAAGTACTTCAGTCAAAGAATTCCTCAGGAATAATTTTTGATTTTACATGTCTTGCATCTAAAAATATACCCTAGATACAGTTACAGGTAAATGTGTTCAATCATACTGTATAATACCAAAAGTCCTGATGTGTTTAAACATGTTAAATAGCATCTGGAATATATAAGATATATGGGGGAAACATACATCATGATACATGAATCATTACACAACGAGTTGACAATTCTGTTAGCTATTCCCGCTTAGACGGGACCCAGTTGTAAAAATGGATACGAGAGGGGCTTGTCCCGGAATAACACAAGATGGTCATGAATGATTTGTAGGTAGAGTGTTAGTAGTATTAATTGATGTGATCAGTGATTCATTGGTTTCACTCTCAGTCCCTACCACGGTACCCGTGAAGATTCCGGGGTAGAATAGGTCTTCAGCAACCCATGCTTGCGGTAAAAGGCGACTATGCTTGTCGTAAGAGGCGACTAACAGGATCAAGTGGTCTGACTTGGTTGATGCATGTCATCGTATCCCAATTGCGTGGATCGATGCTCATGATGTCAATCACTGGATTGTCTGGTTCAGAATTAATTATTTACAGACCGCCATCATATAGCTGGAATATTGCTGAGTGTGGCGTTAAACAACAAACAAACAAACAAACCCTATCAAGGAATCAATCACTATATGATTGTCTTTTGGATTGTATGAACCGGATGTTGATTTCATTACACGATTTCGATTGGACTATACATAGACTCGTTAGTTAGCAAAGATATAACTCCATAACCATTATATTCATAAATAACACTTGGAGAGACATTTTTGTGCAACATCCATGGTCCACTGGCAGACCGTCACGCATACGAGCGACCCCCACTCAGCTGGTCACTTGTACGCGAGAGGAGAGACCTGTCTCGCTTACACGTTACGTCCTCTACTGATAACTGCAGCCTAGTTCGGCAAGGGTGGAAACTGGACTTTTATAGTCAGTTAATTCCCTTGCCTCAGGAAGATGCAGTTAACATGGTTAAGAGTTGTACTGTTTTTCTGTGTTGTTATTCACATGTTAGATATTGAGGAAGAACCTATGGTCGTGGGTTCAAATCCCGATTTTACCCGATTATGTTTCTAAGTTTGTCAACACCATACCCATGCTTGTGGATTTCACCAAAGTGGTAAACGTCTAAGACCTACATCACTTTGGGCTTTCCTCCCACATTAACATGCTTAAGCTGACACGCCGTGATATAACTGGAATATTGTTCAAAGCGACAGTAAACCCAACTCACCCACTCACTGAGGTAGAATTCTCTAAATGTATTATGTTTCTATTCTAATACATCAACATTCAATTCCTAACAAAAATTATTGATGGTTTCCTGTTATCATGGTTATTCAAGACAAATATCCTGCTAACAGGTTTTGGTTATCACTTATCAATATGCAAATATCAGTGTGTTTTTTTTAACAGCTAACGCCACGTTTGTTGTTTGTGTTCATGAGCCCACTTTTGTGCTCGTAATGAAATTAAATTTGCAGGCATGGCATAACTGCAATGAATATGTTCTGAAGCTCAGAAGTAAGGAAGCTGTAATTGTCAGTGTGAAATGTAATAGCAATTTTGACAATGGCAGACATTATTTTGGCTTCAGGAAGAAATGGTAGGACTATGAAAACATGGTGGTTGATATGTAAACAAATATCTGCTTCTCTGTTTACCATGTTTGTGAATGCATAATTCAGTTTGCCATATTTGTCAGTAAATAGGTATGCCTGTCTCAGCAATAGAAACTACCGTATTCGACGTAATAAGCGCCCAGGGCGCTTTCAAAATTGGAAATAGGGGGCTCTTAATAGAATGTTATTTTGGTGGGAAAAAAACAGAGTTGAAAGATAAATTTCTTGGTTTATGCTGACAGCCTGAAATGTTTATATACGACAGACATATTTTTCCAGAATCTAATTGCATATTATACGCGAATAAATAAGTCTTTTGTACATTTATCAATTGGAAGGGGTGCTAATTGGGATTGTTCACCAGCAAATATATTAATAAATATCGCCGTGGGCGCTTATTAGAGCAGGGCGCTTATTACGTCGAATACGGTAACAATTTTAGTCAGACCTCAAAATGATAACATATTGCAAATGTCAAATTTCTACTAGTCCTTATGACACCTTAACTATTGGGCAGTTTGGCAATGGCTACAGCATGTACAAGAATAGTGCCAATTTCTAACACTGTATGATGGTCATGTGTGAAAATGTCATCACATTGAGTTAGTGAGTGTGGTTTTAAACTGCTGTTAGCAATATTCCAGCAATATCACAGCAGGGGGCACCAGAAATGCTTCACACATCGTACCCTTGCAGGGAATCGAACCCGGGTCTTCAGCATGACGAGCGAACGCTTTACCCACTAGGCTACCCCATCGTCCCATCATGGTTTGATGTGACGTCAGATATGACTGCTTTTGATGTCAAAGTAGATATGTTAGAATGTACAAACCATCCAAACTGTGTGTGCCAGAGAAAAATGGAACCCGACTATTGGTCAGCTGGGATCGATTTTGCTATATCCAAGCTGCACCAGTGCAGGTAAAACATTGGTAGTGCAGGTAACTGTTATGACCAGGTAACATTCCCCAACACAGCAGTTATATTTTGTAAAAGTGGAAACTGAATTCTTTGAGAATTTAAAATCATTGTACCATGTAGATACAGCATAAATTAATGATGATAAAATTGTTTATTAAAATATAGAATGTATCCATTTTGCCCCCCCCCAAAAGTCATTCCATTGCTGTTCTTTGTGTGCAACGATACAGGATTAAGATATGAATCGGTACAGGGAAGTGTGTATCGCATATCATATCGTCTGAGAAATATTATCAATGCACTGATGTATTGGTGAATTGTGACATCCCCCATCATTTTCCTTTCCGCCTTCGCTCTCATTGGTAGACATCAAATGGTAACTCGTCAAACTGTTCCATGCATAAGCATGATAAGAAACTCCCTTGTGATATACAAAATTCTGGGAATGCATTTCTGTTTTTGAAACATATCACTTGAAAAGCAACTAGAATAGCGACAGATCAGAGAGATTCATACGTAGTACGATAATGGTAGCAACTATGTTTATCTTGATCTTTGTACTGAAACGTCATCAAACTGAATTGAGGTATTATTTACGGAGGCTCATCCCAGGTAGGTAGGTTTTGGTTTGGTTTGGTTTGGTTTGTTGTTTAACGCTGCACTTAGCAATATTCCAGCTATATGATGGCGCTCTGTAAATAATCGAGTCTGGACCAGACAATCTAGTGATTGATATCATGAGCATCGATCCACGCAATTGGGATCGATGACATGCATCAACCAAGTCAGCTTGCCAGACCACCCGATCCCGTAATAATATATAAGTCGCCTTTTACGACAAGCATAGTCACCTTTTACGGCAAGCATGGGTTGCTGAGTGAGTGAGTTTGGTTTTACGCCGCTTTTAGCAATATTCCAGCAATATCACGGCCTGGGACACCAGAAATGGGCTTCACACATTGTACATGGGTTGCTGAAGACCTATTCTACCCCGTATCTTCACGGGTCTGGGGTAGGTCGGTAAAATCAGACTTGTGTATACTGATGTATGTACAAGATGATGTCTACTTATTTATTTGATCATGTCAGAAGTTGTAAACTTCCAAGTCTAAGAGTGAAAAAAGGGCAAGCCACATGCTTGTTGTCAATCATTTGAACATGTCTTATAATTGTTGTATCAATATTTCAAAGTTTTCTGCCAAATAGGTTGTATTTGTTAAATATTTTTTAAGACAAAATTTTTTAAGTTAACCTGCAATCAACATTATCAATGCTGACATTTTTTATTTTGCCTTCTGCTTTTTCTTGTGGCGTATTGGCAGGAAAAACATAAAACAAAAAAAATCAATTGATCTTGCTAGTTTCACTGATAGGAGAAAGGCTAA